TCCTACCAGGATTCATCATTGGCAGCCACAATCTTAACAACATAAGATATGCAGATGGCACTGTGTTGATAGTTGACACGGAAAGGAAACTACAAACCCCCCCACAGAAGGTACTGAAGGAAAGCGAGAAGAAGGGACTAAGCAAAATCTACAAGAAGACAGAATGCATGGTCATCAACAAAAAGAAGAGACCAAAATGCAAATTACAGGTCGGGGATACTAAAATCAAGCAGGTACAAAAATTTAAATATCTGGGAAGTGTTCTAACAAAGGACGGAAAGTGCGACACTGAGATCCGAAGACATATTGCAATGGTCAAAGATGCATTCCAAAAGCCAAGCAGAGTATTAAGAGACAGGGAATGTTTCGGTGGAAACAAAGAAAAGAGTACTGAACTGTTACGTGATATCAGTCCTCCTGTATGGCAGCGAATGTTGGACAATCTTCTCAAAGATGAAGAAGAGACTCGAAGCAACAGAAATGTGGTTCTACAGAAGGATACTGAGGATGGGCCGTACATGTGAGCAACGACGAGGTTTTGGAAAGTGTGGAAACAAAGAGGAAACTTATACTTAACATCAGGAAGAGGCAGCTGAAATTTCTGAAATTATTGAGGAAGGAGGGCTTGGAAAATCTGATACTCACAGGACGGGTAGAGAGAAAAAGGGACAGGGGAAAACAACGCGTGATATACTTAATGGACTTGAGCAAGTGGATGGCAAAAGAGGGTCTGGGAGAAATAAGAAAAAGACAAAACATATTAAGAGCTACAAGGGACAGGAGGGCGTGGAGGGTCATGATCGCCTACGTCCTGAAGGGACAAGGCACATAAAAGAAGAAAATAATTTCACACTGCCTCGTGAAAATCTTTTTTTTTTCGAATTTGATGGTGAAAGGAGTTATTATTTTTATTTTCTAAATGGTCCCAAAATAATACGTGCTAGGTCTACAACTACGTCCGCAAGTATTTTGGCGGTATTTACCCTTGTAATTATTGATTATGAAGCAAACCTTCAGATGGAATTTTATTGGTTGAAAAAAATATATAGAATTTAATTCCTATATGTCACCCGGAAATTTCACGTGTCACTTTCTGATTTTAAGTCTAAGTTTTCTTATAGTTCCTTGTTGTTCACATTGTTCTGTGCACGGTTAGGATTAGCATTCGACAATAGTAGCACATCTCTGTCGCTTCAAATCACTTCTTCATCTGCGAGGAAATAATCAAGCATTTACTGTCATAAAACAATGGATCTCAACCTTTTTTTTTTTTTTTTAACTCATAGGCCACTTTTGCTCTTAATTTTTGTGGGTGGACCCCCATAACCATTCGATGAAAACAAAAGCTTATTTTATTTTTTACCAGTAGATAAGTTTAGGAATTTTATTATAGAAATAGTAAATGTATATGCTTTATTCTTCAGGAAAATAAACCTGTATTTAGCAACTAAATTCTACCGAAAATTTATGTACACGAGTAAAATAGCTCATAAAACATTTTAAAATATGTGCGTAATTAATAAAGTGCAGATTTATTTAATTAAATCCTGATAACTGATGATTCGCTGCAAGTTTTTTTATTATATCTATCGATGTCAATGATAATCGAAGATCACCTGTTTTCTGAATATCACCTAAGATACAAATTATATATATATATATATATATATATATATATGCCTTTCCATCATGCGTCATTTTTAGAGGTCAGGGAGTACTCAAAAGTTTTCCTAACCTCACGAAACTCTGTAACCGATTTACTTCATATACATATATGTGTGTGTGTGTGTGTGTGTGTGTGTGTGTGTGTGTTTCGCTGTGTGTGTGTGAGTGTATGTACGTGTGTGTGTGTATGTGAAACAAACAAAAACGGAGATGATGAAACAAAGTGGAAGCTATATATATATATATATATATACACCCAAGTATATAATTGGTATATACGGAATGAATTCCAATAACCAACAATTACTATTCTTAAAAGAGTGCTCAATACAAAGTAGAGCAGGTTGAAACAAAATGGCTATTTTTGTAGTGATTTTATAACATATTTATGTTATATTTTTTTATAAATAATATATATATATATATATATATATATATATATATATATATATATATATATATATATGACAGTGGATACTGAGGTTAACACTGGATGACCAAAGTCTGTTTCATGCATGAAAGCAGTCTTCAGGCCATGATTGTTGTAACTATTACTACTCAATAGCTTTTAGAATAATTTAAACTACAACTGTTCCCGACTATCCAATAACCGTTAGGATAACATAATAAACAGTAAATACCTGATCTTGCTACCCATAATGCCACATTGCACATCATATATAGATAGTTGAGCTACCAACCAATACACATTGCCTGAAGATTGCGATCAAGCATAAAGCAGATTGTCGCTACTTGATGTTAACCTCAGTATCCACTCTTATATTTACACGTGCTCTATCCCAGATATTGATCACTTTTACACATAAATATACCATATCTTAAAATTATTTTAATTATATATATATATATATATATATATATATATATATATATATATATATATATATATATATGTACCTTGATGATTCCATGTGGTTATTTATTTATCTTAATTTTGCTCTACTTAGTGTATTGAGCACTCTTCGTTTTAACTTATTACTAGCTGTACCAGAGATTTAAAGTACTGGATGATTTCTTTCGCCCTGTTCGGAGGTTTTGGTGCTTTCTTTTTTTTTACAATTTTTCCTCGGATGCCAATTTGTTTAAAATTGTGCTATCCAGCTTTTTTTCACCCACCCAGTTTAAATAGATTTACATATATATATATATATATATATATATATATATATATATATATATATATATATATATATATTTTATGTCTATCGGCTTGCGTATTCGAGAAATTTTAATGATGAAAATGTGCTTTCCGGCAGTACGTCCCCCTTTCTATTAGAAAAATGAGGCGTGTATTTCAAATATGAGTATCTACAGCGTCTTCCTTGATGAATTTCATCTTAACATCAAGAAACTGTAAAGGATCAGTATAAAAAATGAATAGATATATATCTATATTATTCAATGAAACACACACACACATACACACACACATATATATATATATATGTATATACAAATGAAATTAGAACGAATCAAATATAAATTCAAACGTTCACAACATAAATTTAAAAATAAGGCTTAATACAATCGAAGAGTAATATTTTTTATTATATGATATTACATCCGAATATATGTAAAACCTCTACATAAATGCATTCATGTTTCGATGCATATCATTGCATCTCATCAGGCGGTAGTAAATGAGGGTTATTACAGTTTTAATATTTACTTACAAACAATACCTTTTCCTGCGAAAAAAGAAAATAAGAAAAGCAAGAAAGAAATACATAAGATATAGTCTCTTTTGAAAAGAAAAAGAAAAAAGAGAATATATAGTCAAAAAAGGAAAGGAAAGAAAGACAAAATATAGTCTCTTCTAAAAAAGAAAGAAAATAAAATAAGAAAGAGAAGGAAAGAAAGATATAGTCTCTTCAAAGAAAAGGAAAAAATACCGAGTGTAACAGCCAAATTGTCCAAATCGTGTAACAACATAATTATGCATCTCACAAAAGGTTTAATATCTAAAAAAAAACCCACTAAACTAATTGATTTTCTTTTTTCCAGCTTTTCAGATAAAACGTTTCTCCATCTTGACACCATTTGTCGCAAGAATCACTGAAAGAACTTTGAGTTATTCAGCTAAAAAGAGAACAGGCTAAAACTGTTTTGTGTCAGCCTCACTGTCTTCCCAACTGAACAATGGTGGGAGGAAAAAGATCATTCAGACTTTCAGTAATGGTACCAACATTCATACTCTGGCTAACATCTTCAAAGTCCATTCAAGAACCATTAAGAGAGCGGGGAATAAGTTTAAAAAAGAGGGAACAGTAGAGAGGAAAACTGGATTAGGTAGTCACAACAGGAAGAGGGATGATCATTTCATCAGCCAAAGGGATCAATTAGAAAAGATTCAACTCAGTTCATAAGACGTTTGACACGTGGGAGAGTAGTTTCGGCTATGACAGTCCAAACAACAGTGGAAAAAGACTTGAAAATGAAATCGTACAATTGCTCTGAGGCAATTTGTTACTCCAGGACAGAAAGTTAAAAGGTTAGTGAGAGGGAAGATCATCTTGAATAAGTTGGAAAATAATCCTGGAATATATATATGTTCGAACTTTATTTCAACTCTTTATGAGTTATCCTTAGCTATGGTTAATTAATGATGAATTTGTCATTTTCGTCTATGATCGATTTCATCACGATACTTCTGTTAAGCTTACAAAGTAACTATACATTCTCATTGCTCAAAGTAGAGTCCAATAGTGTTATAATAACTCGGAGAATTCCAGTCAGCATATATATATATATATATATATATATATATATATATATATATATACTTGTTATCTAGATCTAATTATCTTGAAAAAAGATAAAATTTTTACATTGTGTATGTCATATGTGTCTCACTCCAGTTCCTGACAGATCAGACTTTGCACTCAATGCCTTTCAAACAAGTCAGGTGCAGGGTTGACCTGAAGTGACCTCGTGGCCGCCGAGTGCAGATTCGTGTGACTGACCCTGCTGCACATTTGAAACGCGCGTGAGTAAAACCGTATGACAGGTAAATATGCAAATACCGACCCGGGATGCAAACTGGACAGTCTCTCTCAGACGTCGCACACGAGAATGTAAGGTCTACGTTCGAATGAGGATGCGGGGTGGCACACACACACACACACAAGCGCGCGCACTGGCCGACAGTAACTGAAGAAGTCCGAAATTGAATAACGTTTATTGTTACGTATTGGAGATTTGGTCTCATGTTTTCATTAAAATGTGCGACATCTATCTCAGTGTCTCAGCAGAATACAATGTAGCTGTAAATGACAGTAACAGCTGAATAAGTATCTGGACCTCACAAAGGCTTACGGCGTTGAAACATTTGTTCTCGTACGATCACCAAAGTTAAGCAACGTTGAGCATGATCAATACTTAGATGGGTGACCGCTTCGGAATACAAGGTGCTGTATGCTTGGATGTGCGGTCGGTGTAATTGAAATTGGAGAGTCAAGTTTCAATTCCAGTCGAGATCGTTATAGTCACTTACGCTCAAATACTCTTGCAAATGATACAAATCCACCTCTTCTCCTCCCAGCTATCGGTTAATTAGTAAAATTTTAATTCGTTTTTTACGGCTTATCGACCTTTTGTATCTTATCAATTCTTTGAATTGTTTCACGATAATAATGGTTTTTACTGCTACATCAATCAAAATGGTCCTCGCCAGAAAATTAAAGACGTGATGGAACATGAATGTGACAGTTGAGCCAATCATTCTTTAAGCACTAATGACGATTCTGAAAAGCCTAGCAAATACAGGTCGGCGTCGATAAACCGCTATAGTTGGGGTCCAAAACTTCTATCCGCGTTTTAGATGGTCCGCGATTTAGATCAAAAGTTAGCCATCATGTCAGGATTGTCAGCTTAGGCCACCAAAACAAAGCTTGTCAAATCCATGGAGTTATCTGTGAAAATGGGTAACACAGTAGCTAAGCATGCAAAATGCGTATTCAATACTAAGAGTTGAATATGGGCAGTTTTAAAAAATATATATTAAAACTATCCTTTAATTTCACATAGAAATCTGCACCAATGTGAATAAATTTGAAAGACCACGGCCTAAAATGATTCCAATTAGAAAACACCATGTCAATACATCCATCATCGATGACAGCAAAAGATGTCGAAAATCTCATACGCACGAGATTTTAATATTTTAACAAGAAAAAAATAAAATTATTCTTTTTATAGTTTTATTAAGATTTTGAATAAAACCATGACAATACATTGTATTGGGCTTGTATAATGGGTCCTGACATGGGTATCCCATTATTTTTAGCTTCACAGAACATATGTTAGAAAAAACTGAAATCCGGCCAAGAAATGAAAACAACCAAACAATGGCGCGAAAGAAAACAACGAGAATACAGATGCTGGAGTTTCGAAGAGGCTTATTGTCACTTTATCTCTACTGCACCCCATCAGTTATTACTGGTGTGAAAACTCAATAATTATAATGAAAGAAAATCTATTATAAATAATAAAATGTTTTCAATTTGAAAACAATCCCTAGCAACAAAGGTCACAAGACAGTGATACAACGAAAAAATACCGTGAAATAATTTTTATTTATTTTTTATGATAAATTCTTGATTCCAACAATGTTTAGATCAGCGTATTATCGATTAACCTTTTAAAAAATCTTTAAAAAATATGAAAATAAACACAAGAACGATAATGGATGACCCCGAACAAAGATGCAGAACGAGGTTAATAAAAATAGTTCCTTCATTTCTGGTTTTGCTTTTATATATATTCAATTGCAGCTGTACCAAGAGGCAGGTATTTGCCTATTAGTATCATTGTTACATGTCTTGGGGTTTCGAGATATAGATGACATGCCGTGTGGTACAGACAGAATTACAAAAGATAGGTATAATAGCTTGTGAAATGAGAACACAATGGCGACAAGGAACTTGCGTCTTCTTTCAGCGTTTCGCGTGTCAAAATAATTATGGGAAGAAGCAGGCGATTATGTTAAAAAAATACGAAGAAAGACAAATATTCTGATAATGCGGAAAAACGAAAGAAAAATGCTTGTTAAAGAAAAGAACGAAAGACAACAATAAAGAAATAGGCAAAGAAAAAGGGTTGAAGAAAAAAGGTTGCAAAAAAAAGGGGAACAATGTGCAATAAAGAAAATAGGGAGCAAAACAAGAAAGAAGAAAGAAAAGAGAACCAACAGGAAAAAGAGACGTGAACGTTATACTAAATATGAGGAGAAAGAAAGAAAGAAAGATAAAAAGAAAGAAAATCAGTGAAAAATATAAGAAAAATGTCTACAGAAAATTGAACAGGAATTAAAATAAAAAGAAAGATAAAATAAAGAAAATCAGTAATAAAAAGAGGAAAGAAACGAAAAACTGTACAGAAAATTAAATATAAATTTAAAAAAAGAGAAACTAGAAAATAGAGGAAAAGAAAGAAAATGTACGGAAAATTAAATGTAAATTAAAAGAGAGAGAGAGAGAGAGAGAGAGAGAGAGAGAGAGAAAGAAAAATGCATCAGAATGAAATAACGAAAAAACAAAAGAAAAGGAGGGAAAAAAGGTTGTATAAAAAAACGGAATGGAAGGAAATGAAATATCTCTTGATAAACATAAAATAGTAAACGAGTTTACCGTTTGTTATTCAAATAGGTCAAGCTGACATTTCTTTTGAACTAAATCTCTATTTTTTTTTTACCTGATTTGATTTTTTTCCAATAAGGATTTTTCTTCATTCATAAAGAGTTCTTTCTTCTTAGCCTTTGTTTCATTCTTTTATTTGTTATTCGTTTACTTTTTCTCTTCATTTTTTTTTTAAATTTTCTTTTTTTTATCTTTTCATAGAATTTCAAACAAATCTGCAAGAACGTTTCTTATATCGAGAAAGAAATGTTGAAGGTAAAAGAAAAAAAAAGAAAAAGAAATAATGCGAAAAGCTAAGGCATGGCGCAGCAAATAATACACAAAACCTGAATGGATTTGCTTGAGAAATGAAAGAAACTTTCTCGAAATCATGGATCCTTCACCTTGACTTAGTTTTTATACCACCTTTTTTTTTAATATATATATATACATATATATTATCTTTTAAAGAAAAATATATAAAATTGAATGTCTCGAGTGAAAAGAGAATATTGTCGATGAGCAAAAAACATCCTTTAGCTCCGTATCTCAAACGAGAGATCCGGCTGTTGTTCCAACGGGAAATATTTCCCATTTCTCTCGTTCGTTTCTCAACCGACAACGGAATTCGCCGACGCCATTTTGGTTACACATTAGAATTTCCTTTAGGAACGTAGAGAGGGGAATAAAAGAACAACCAAAACTTGCCTGGTGCTCATTGTATCTTATATTTGTACAGACCTACCGTGTTTATGAATTCCTTTCTTAGTAGAGGTAGATTCTCTCGTTCATGACCACATTCAACGGCAACGTGGCTGCTTAAGGGGGTGAAAATCTTCAATTTTAGTCCTGCCAGTTTACTGAAAATGACTTTTCATTCAAAATTATTATTTTTTTTTAGTAAAATGTAGATTCATAAAAAATCTTTCGTGTAATGCTGAGACGATAACAAGAATCAAAATGCGTAGGTTTACTGCCCAGTGCGGGAGATTTGGTAGTGTTTGTTGGAACTCCCACTCATCAAGGAAAATGGAAGTATGCTCTTCGATAGCTACCGTTCAAACTGGCTTAACTTTAGGCCATTCACTTCCAAGACAAAAAAAAAAGGAAGAAATTTAAATTCATAAAAGTATTTTCTGTCCAATCAGAAAAAAATCAGGTAGCTTCAGCCAACAGTTCGTTTCCTAGCAACTCCTAAACTATATAAACCGCCATCAATTCAACACTGCGACAGAAGGCGCATCCGAGCTATCATGCCGTCCTGGGTATGACGATAAACTACATCCGCGTCCTGGGTAAGACGATAAACTATATCCAACAGCAAGGCCTCTGATCAAGAGGTTTTGAGGAGCATGGAACCACCTCTTAATTGCTGGTGTTCTCAGGTCCACTCCGACCTGGGGTGGTAGCACCTGTTAGGGTCCCAGCTATGGGCAAATAGTTAACCCCCAAACTGGCGTCAAAACACTATGTAAGTGTAAAAATAGGTTTTATTACCAGTAAATACATTTTTAAAAAAAAATATTACCAGCAATACATTTTTGAAAAAAAATAACCAGCAATAAATTTTTGGAATAAATATCGTATCGGCATTAAATAACCCAACCAAACCGAGCTATCACGGTCATTTGTCTATCAGTTGCCATTTTGCCCGGGCATCCACCGAAGGCTCTTGCCTATTGGAATGCCGAAGACTAAAAACAGTCACAGAGACACCAGGAGTCTGATGTTCACACCAGCAGCCAAGAACACTACGCGGTTAAAACCTTTATTCTTAGTTATGTGCTATGCGTGATACACGCTTAGGCGATCATGTATCTTTCGATACATGACTAACGAGGCAGACTTTTTCCCGCAGTAGGTTGCCATTTCTTTCTACGGTGGACCAGTTGCCATACAAGGCTATAGAACCCGGTCTGTCCTGCTATTTACCCATAGCTGGGGGAGAGAAACGAATTCATACCTTTCTCAAGGGTATTAGCACGTAAGTGAATGTAATGGATTCGACTGGAATTCAAACTCGGCTCTCCGATTCCTCACTCCGAGCCACTATCCATTATTCCACCGTATGCGATAAAGCTCAGGCACATGTATATTTTCTCCACGTAGTCTTTCTCTAAAAAATGCATGCAGACGCAGAAAGGAAGCTACAAGCAGTCCTACAGAAGGTAGTAACGGAAGATACGAAGCATCAATTGCAAGAAGACAAAATGTATGGTTGTCAGCAAAAGGGACAACCCAAGATGCAAACTATGAATTGGAGACGTCAAAATCAATCAAGTACAAAAATTTAAATATCTAGAAAGTGTTTTACCAGAAGACTGAAAATGCGACACCGAAATCCGAAGGTGAATTGGGATCGCGAAAGATGCTTTTGAAAAGTTAAGTAAAGTATTAAGAAACGAGAAAATTTCGTTAAAAACAAAGAAAAAGAGTACTGATAGTGACTTAATATTAGTCCACCTATATGGCAGTGAATGCTGGTCAATCACCTGACAGATAAAGAAGATACTTGAGGCAACTGAAACGTGGTTCTACAGCAGGATACTAAGAATACCATGGACTGAACATGTGAGCAACGATGAAGTTTTAGATGAAATACAAACAAAAAGGACACTTATACTTAACTTAAGAAAGTGTCAGTTAAGATTTCTAAATCACATAATGAGGAAAGAGGGCTTGGAAAAAATTTAAATATTTAAGTAGTGTTTTAACAGAAGACGGAAAATGCAACACCGAAATTCGAAAGTGAATTAAGATAGCGAAAGATGCCTTTCAAAAGCTGAGGAAAGTATTAAGAAA